TGGTGCCTGGAACACTAGTGAGACAGAACCATTCACTCCCCTGGAAAGGGGGCTGAAGCCAGGGAGCCAAGTGGTCTTGCTCAGCGGATCCCACCCTCAAGGAGCCCAGCAAGCTAAGATCCACTGGCTTGAAATTCTCGCTGGCAGCACAGCAGTCTGAAGTCAACCTGGGATGCTCAAGTTTGGTGGCGGGGAGGGGCGTCCTCATTACTGAGGCTTGAGTAGGTGTTTTTACCCTCACAGTGTAAACAAAGCCCCTGGAAGTTCAGACTGGGCAGAGCCAACCACAATACTACAAAGCTGCTGTAGCCAGACTGCCTCTCTAGATTCCTCTTCTCTGGGCAGGGAATCTCAGAAAGAAACACAGCAACCCCAGTCAATGGCTTACAGATAAAACTCCCATCTCCCCAGGACAGAGTACCTGGGGGAAGGGTTGACTGTGGGCCCAGCTTCAGCAGACTTAAACATTCCTGCCTGCTGGCTATGAAGGGAACAGCAGATCTCCCAGCACAGTCCTTGAGCTCTGCTAAGGGACAGACAGCCTCCTCAAGTAGGTCCCTGACCCCTGCACCTGCTGATGGGGAGACACCTCCCAGCAGGGGTCAACAGATGCCTTTTATAGGAGAGCTCGAGCTGGCATCTAGGTGGGTGCCCCTCTGGGATGAAGCTTCCAGAGGAAGGAGCAGACAGCAGTCTTTGCTGTTCTACAGCCTCTGCTGGTGATATGCAGGAAAAGAGGGTCTGGAGTGGCCCCTCAGCAAACTCCAGCAGACCTGCAGAAGAGGGCCCTGTTAGAAGGAAAACTAACAAACAGAAAGCAACAGCATCAACATCAACAAAACAGATGACCACGCAAACACTCCATCCAAAGGTCACCAAGAGCAAGACCGAAAGTAGATAAATCCACGAAGATGAGGAAAAATCAGCACCGAAAGGCTGAAAATTCCAATAACCAGAATGCCTCTTATACTCCAAAGCACCACAACCCATCGGTGTGTTGTATTCAGGAGACCTATCTCACATGCAAAGACACACATAGGCTCAAAATAAAGGAATGGAGGAATATTTACCAAGCAAATGGAAAGAAAAAAGAAAAAAAAGAAAAAAAAAGAAGAAGTTGCAATCCTAGTCTATGATAAAACAGACTTTAAACCAACAAAGATCAAAAAAGACAAAGAAGGGCATTACATAATAAAGGGATCAATGTGACAAGAAGAGCTAACTAACCTGTATGTATGCACCCAATACAGGAGTGCCCAGATTCATAAAACAAGTTCTTAGAGACCTACAAAGATACTTAGACTCCCACACAGTAATAATAAGAGACTTTAACACCCCGCTGTCAATATTAGACAGATCAATGAGACAGAAAATTAACAAGGATATTCAGGACTTGAACTCAGCTCTGGACCAAGCAGACCTAATAGACATCTACAGAACTTTGCACCCCAAATCAACAGAATATACATTCTGTTCAGCACCTCATCACACTTATTCTAAAATTGACCCACATAATTGGAAGTAAAACACTGCTCAGAAAATGCATAAGAATGGGAATCATAGCAAACAGTCTCTCAGACCACAGTGCAATAAAATTAGAACTCAGGATTAAGAAACTCACTCAAAACCACACAACTATATGGAAACTGAACAGCCTGCTCCTGAATGACTACTGGGTAAATAATGAAATTAAGGCAGAAATGACAAAGTTCTTTAAAACCAGTGAGAACAAAGACACAACATACCAGAATCTCTGGGACACAGTTAAAGCAGTGTTTAGAGGGAAATTTATAGCACTACATGCCCACTGGAGAAAGCAGGAAAAATAAAAAACCAACACCCTAACATCACAATTAAAAGAACTAGAGAAGCAAGAGCAACACATTCAAAAGGTAGCAGAAGACAAATAATTAAGATCAGAGCAGAATTGAAGGGGATAGAGACACGAAAAACCCTTCAAATAATCAACGAATCCAGGGAGTGTTTTTTTTTTAAAAAGATTAACAAAACAAATAGACCACTAGCCAGACTAATATGAAGAGAAGAATCAAATATACATCATAAAAAATGATCAACGGGAGATCACCACTGTTCCCAGAGAAATACAAACTAATATCAGAGAATACTATAAACCCCTCTACACAAACTAGAAAATCTAGAATAAATGGATAAATTCCTGGACATATACACCCTCCTAAGACTAAACCAGGAAGAAGCTGAATCCCTGAACAGACCAGTAACAAGTTCTGAAATTGAGGCAGTAATTAATAGCTTACCAGCCAAAAATGCCCAGGACCAGATGGATTCACAGCCAAATTCTACCAGAGGTACAAAGAGGAGCTGGTACCATTCCTTCTAAAATTATTCTAAACAATAGAAAAACAGTGACTCCTCCCTAACTAATTTTATGAGATCAGCATCATCCAGATTCCAAAACCTGGCAGAGACACAACAAAAAAAGAAACTTTCAGGCCAATATGCCTGATGAACATCGATGCAAAATTCCTCAATAAAATACTGACAGACCGAATCCAACAGCACATCAAAAAGTTTATGCATCATGATCAAGTTGGCCTCAGCCCTAGGATGCAAGTCTGGTTAAACATACACAAATCAATAAACATAATCCATCACATAAACAGAACCAATCACAAAACCAGATGATTATCTCAAGAGATGCAGAAAAGGCCTTCGATAAAATTCAACACCCCTTCATGCCAAAAACACTCAATAAACTAGGTATTGATGGAACATATCTCAAAATAATAAGAGCTATTTATGACAAACCCACAGCCAATGTCATATAGAATGGGCAAAAGCTGGAAGCATTTTCTTTAAAATCCGACACAAGACAAGGATGCCCACTCTCACCACTCCTATCCAAAATTGTATTTGAACTTCTGGCCAGGGAAATTAGGCAAGAGAAAGAAATAAAGGATATTAAAAGAGGAAAAGAGGAAAAGAGGAAGTCAAGTTATCTCTTCGGATGACATGATTGTATATACTTCTGGCCAGGGAAATTAGGCAAGAGAAAGAAATAAAGGATATTAAAAGAGGAAAAGAGGAAAAGAGGAAGTCAAGTTATCTCTTCGGATGACATGATTGTATATTTAGAAAACACCACCATCTCAGCTCAAAAACTCCTTAAGCTGATAAGCAACTTCAGCAAAGTCTCAAGATACAAAATCAATGTGCAAAAATCACAAGCATTCCTATACACCAATAATAGACAAACAGAGAGCCAAATCATGAGAAACTGCTATTCACAATTGCTACGAAGAGAATAAAAATACCTAGGAATACAAGTTACAAGCGATGTGAAGTAACTCTTCAAAGAGAACTACAAACCACTGCTCAAGGAAATAAGAGAGAACACAAATGGAAAAGCAGTCCACGCTCATGAATAGGAAGAATCAATATTGCGAAAATGACCATAATGCCCAAAGTAATTTATAGACTCAATGCTCTTCCCATCAAGCTACCATTAACTTTCTTCACAGAATTAGAAAAAATTGCTTTAAGTTTCATGTGAAACCAAAAAAGAGTTCATATAGCCAAGAAAATCCTAAGCAAAAAGAACATAGCTGGAGGCTTCAGACTACCTGACATCGAACTATACTACAAGGCTACAGTAACCAAAACAGCATGGTACTGGTACCAAACCAGATAGACCGATGGAACAAAACAAAGGCCTCAGAAATAACACCACACATCTATAACCATCTGATCCTTGACACACCAGACCAAAACAAGCAATGGGGAAAGGATTCCCTATTTAACAAATGATGTTGGGAAAACTGGCTAGACATATGCAGAAAACTGAAACTAGACCCCTTCCTTACACCTTATACAAAAATTAACTCAAGATATTTTAAAGATTTAAACCTAAGACCTAAAACCATAAAAACCCTAGACGAAAACCTAGGCAATACCATTCAGGACATAATAAGCATGGGCAAAGATTCATGACTAGAACACAAATGCAATTGCAACAAAAGCCAAAATTGACAAATGGGATCTAATTAAACTAAAGAGCTTCTGCACAGCAAAAGAAACTATCATCACAGTTAACAGGAAACTTACAGCATAGGAGATATTTTTTGCAATCTATCCATCTGAACAAAGGGCTAATATCCAGAATCTACAAAGAACTTAAACAAATTTACAAGAATAAACAACCCCATCAAAAAGCGGGTGAAGGATATGAACAGGCACTTTTCAAAAGAAGACATTTATGCAGCCAAAAAACATATTAAAAAAAGCTCATTATCACTGATCATTAGAGAAATGCAAACCAAAACCACAATGAGACACCATCTCATGCCAGTTAGAATGGTGATCATTAAAAGTCAGGAAACAACAGATGCTGGAGAGGATGTGGAGATATAGGAATGCTTTTACACTGTTGGTAGGAGTGTAAATTAGTTCAACCATTGTGGAAGACAGTGTGGTGATCCCTCAAGGATCTAGAACTAGAAATACCATTTGACCCAGCAATCCCATTACTGGCTATATACCCAAAGGATTATAAATCATTCTACTATAAAGACACATGCACACATATGTTTATTGCAGCACTATTCACAATAGCAAAGACTTGAAACCAACCCAAATGCCCATCAATGATAGACTGCATAAAGAAAATGTGGCACATATACACCATGGAATACTATGCAGCCATAAAAAAGAATGAGTTCACGTCCTATGTGGGGAGATGGATGAAGCTGGAAACCATCATTCTCAGCAAACTAACACAAGAACAGAAACCAAACGCTGCATGTTCTTACTCATAACTGGGAGTTGAACAATGAGAACATATGGGCACAGGGAGGGGAACATCATACACTGGGGCCTGTCAGGGGTTAGGGGGTCAATGGGAGGGATAGCATTAGGAGAAATACCTAATGTAAGATGATGGGTTGATGAGTGCAGCAAACCACCATGGCGCATGTATACCTATGTAACAAACCTGCACGTTCTGCACATGTATCCCAGGACTTAAAGTACAATAATAATAATAATAATAATAATAATAATAATAGAAATGGAATGAGGAGATAAGACAATTAAAAGGCAATTAAATCTTAAACAAAAGAGATGATTTTCTTCACACTTCTTGTTTATGAGGGTATTTTCTCTGCCCTTTCTTATCTTCCCTACTCACAGTAAGACAGAGAAGTAGTTGGAGTTATTTTGCCAATAATTTTACATTCCGTTTAAGGCTCTCACAAAGCTAGTGCCAGTTAACACTGTCTAAAAATCAAACTAATTTATCCACCAAAGCCCTTATTTCCAGCTATATTCATCAAATAGCAAAGTTAGAATCCCCAAAATAGAAAGTCATTTCTTTACAAGACAGCATATCTCCGAATGAGCCATGTAGGTATTTTGTAAGTATAATCTTCATTGTCTATTCTACAAAATAACAAAATTTAATTTATTGTAATCATGAAAGATATTGTAATGGCCCAGGGATACCATGTAAAGGTACAGATCACTGGGCAGGAATATTGCCAGAGTTCAATTGTTGAATGGAGAAGCCACTCAGGAAATGGTATTAGTAGGGAGCAGAAGCCAGGGCGCATCGCAGATGGAACACTCACCAGCACCCCAAGTAGACAAGATCCCAGAAATCTGAACTATTTTAAAAATCAATAATTCACAACTTAGAGCACATTGTTTTCTCTCTATAAATTTCAGTGAAACAGGTATCTGTGTAAATGATTCACATCTTCTCCTTTCAAAGAGATTTTCCATTTTAAACCTCATATCTTAAATTGCTTTAATTCCTAAATGAGCAAAGAGCCTGCAGCATGATATTTCCCTATTCAATTTGGAGTAGAGATTATTCCCAAGTAATTACATTAATGAAAAGGAAGTGACAAAGATAACCTGAGATGGCAGGTAAAACAAAAGTTACCCATGTTTTACGTTTGAAATAAACATAAATTTAAACGATTATGAAAATCACATTTTAGAGAAACCGAGAAGCTGTTCCACCTCACTTTATCACATCAGTTTAATCGGCAGACAGATGCCCCTTTCTCACTTTTCACGAAATTAATATGAGTTATTGACTTGTATTTGTATGAAAACTATTTAACATGCAGAAATATTAAAGATTCGAGTGGCATAAATTAAAGAAGTTGTTACGTAAAATAAGTATTTCCAATCCAAAATCTGAAAATCAATTGTGAAATAGTTCCCCATAGAAAACTGAGAAATCTGTGTAAGTCAGCTATTCAAAGAGAAAATCAATGTAAATGTACAAGTGAAATTTATGTAGCATAAAGTGAACAAACTGGAATGTTTTGGCTATGGGTTGCTATTTCTTATTAAAATGACGTTCCTTTAATCTATTAGAATGCTATGAGAAATATCACTACAGTAAATAAATTTCATCAAAATTATACAATTTAAGTAATCATATTAATTTTTTTCATGCATATAATAGTGAAGTTCCAAATATTGAGAGGTTGTAGTTTTTAAAAAGTTATTGCATATATATAAACACTTACTGTTATCTCCGTGCAGCAAAGATCTACATTCCCCACAACTCCTTGAAGTTGCCTGTTAAAAAGTCACAAAAACATGAATAGGTTAATTTAACATACAATAAACTCTAAATTACAATAGCTAATAAGATTATTTTATGTTCATAAATATTATAACTATATTATCAAGGTTTTAATTTTCATAAATTAAAAACTACAAAAGGCAGTGAAAATTATTTCTTAATATACATCAGAAGTTAAAAATACTAAATACTGAGAAAAAAAGAAAATTTAAATTACAGAAAAACAAAACTATCTTAGTTGGTAAAAAGAATGCATTCATTTTTTTCCCATGATGTTTATAAATAACCTGATCATTGGTTTATATTGAGGGGATAAAGAAGTTTTAGTTTCATTCTCATTAGAGATTTATGTTTTAATGTTTATCCAAAATTGTCTTTGCTTCAACAAATCTTTAATTCATCAGACAAACTTGAAAATAACCAAGAGTAAAAAATAGGTAATCAAAATCTAGTTAGATCTAATCAAATTAGAGACACTATTTTTGAAGAATTAGAAAATATATGCTGTAATATACAGGTCAAGTACATTCTTTCACTCAATATTTGATCAATTTTCTGAAGAAAAAATAAATCATTTATCGTGTGTTTGATGTTGAATAGTATCTGAATATTCAACCTGAAATAGAGAACTTCAGTAATTATCTAAATCACTCAGGCCAAAAGACCAATTTACAAGAATTACCCAGCTCATTGGGGCACATATTATTGGAGGAATCTTTTTCTTGAATTATTTCCTAAATGCTAATTTTACTTTTTGTGGTTGTAATGTACCAAACATGGAAAGCAATAACATGGCTTGCATTAGACATCTAAAATCACAAATAAAATCATCTGAAAATATGCTTTGATAAAACAAATGTTTACTCTTAAGAGATGTTTTTATTTCTATGAAAATATCTAAAATATCCTCTAATTATATTAAGACTTGATTTGGACAGAAATATTATTTCATCGTAATTGTGCATTTTCATTTTATCTCTATTCATTTTAATTTCTGTTCCTCTCCCAGCTAATGTCAAGAGCACAAGCCAGCTATTGAAATCTTTTTCCAGTAATCTGTTTGAAACAGTTTTAAAAGGTACATCAGGCCAAAATATTTTCTACTTTATGCAATAGAAAAGGAAGTATTTAATTCAGAATTGGAACCATGTTATTTTGTTTAACAAGGTTTTTTTTGGGGGGGCGGGGCGTGTAATCAAAATCTGACAGCACTGGCAGGGCGCAGTGGCTAACCCCTGTAACTCCGACACTTTGGGAGGCACAAAGATGGCTTGAGGCCAGGAGGCGAAATCTTGTCTCTGCTAAAAACACAAAAATCAACTGGACATGGTGGTGTGCACTTGTCGTCCCAGCTACTCTGGAGGCTGAGGAATGATAATAGTTTGAACCTGGGCGGTGGAGGTTGTAGTGAGCCAAGATCGCGCCACTGCACTCCAACCCAAGCAACAAAGTGAGACTCTGTCTCAACAACAAAAACAAATAAAAAAATCTGCTGATATAGTGTAACCTAAAATATTTTATACATTTATCTACTATGCTAATTTTTAAATCATGCAACTTGGATTTGAAGAAATCAATATTTTTAAAAGAAAATAAAATGTTTTAAAATTTCTATAATAAATTTAAGAAGTAGTCTTTCATGATACAGGCAAAATACCAGATTTTAGAATTTAAGAGGTATTTGCTCAAGAAGGAGATACCAAAGTAAATAATAACTTAGTTGGTTTATCATGAATCCCCTTATTCAAAAAGCTATTAAATGGTCATTATTTTGAGATTAAACTTAGAGGACTTGAATAAAAATTAATAATCATTGACTTCTGCTCTTTACCAAAATGTTAGCAGCTTGACAACATTTCCTATGAATCCCAAACTTCATTTTTATTAATGTAGGACAACTCTTTAAAATCTATTGTTATATTCTTTAATATTATAATTTTTATCTAATACATACGAAGTATAACTTTTAAGTGAAAATGAAGCTATATCAGGTTAAAATATCTTAAAAGTTACCTTATTTCTCTCCATACAAAAATTTTCTAGCTATAGAAATTCCTGAGATATATAGTCTTTCTTTGGGATAATAGAGAGAACATTTCAGATAAATTTTAGTTTCTTAGCTTCATTACATAATTACATCTTTAGTATTTTTGTAATTAAAAATATCTTCCTACTCCATGGAAATACTCTAGCACCACCCGTGCTTTGCTCCTGTTAAGGTAGTATAAGGTGTTCCATCTTGCTAGAGGTATTTGGAGAGTAGAAGCTACTACTAAATGGGAGGAAATAAGTAGTTCCTGATTTTTAGATTTCGATTGTACTCAGCGTGGTTAAAGGAAGAGTAACCATGAAATAAAACACTCCCTGACAGTGAAGTTCAACATTCTCCATACTTCATTTTTCACTACAGGGTTGCTTTGCCTTTGGTCAAATACCCTCCAGAGGCACACTTTTCTCGGTAACCTTGTGTTGGGCTATTACTGTTGAGCTATTTGAAGTTATAAAAATATTTCATTAAACGATATATTATTTGAAAATGACTGTCATGGAAGTTGGAATGGAGGCCCTAGGGCCCTGCCCTTTCCTCTCTTCATATTCCCTCCCAACCTGTGGTTTCAGAGCCACCTTGATGAGATCTCGAGGTATTTGGGGAGCAAAGTCTGAAATCCACTTCTGCATTTCCATACTCTTTCATTTCAAAACACAGGGAGAAGAGACATAAGAAGCTACAAGTTTGCTGGGAAAAAAGGGGGAAATGCAAGAGAAGAAACAATGTGGAGAACTTGAGGAAAAATAAAGGAAAGAGAGGAAAGAGCTGCGTTTTAGACAAAGTTTGCAATGTATGTTCAAAGCTTTAGGAAACTGGTTGGGAAACACAATCCTGAAACAGATGCTTAAGAGAAAAATACTATAGATAAATGAAACTTTACAGACAACTTGTGTATCTTCATGCTTCTAGATGCTTTGTGTGTGTGTGTGTATATGTGTGTATATATATGTGTGTATATATATGTGTATATATATGTATGTGTATATATGTGTATATATGTGTGTGTACACATATCTATATATATGTGCGTGTATATATACATATATGATTTAAACCTGATTTTCTGTTAGGTGATTTACAACATGATTCAGTTTCAGAATGATTTTAATACAGTTATATTCCAATGGCAAACATTTTAAAATACAGGCTGATTCCTAAATAATCGAGGACATCTGGTCACCCTTCCAATATGTGAATTGCCTTAAAATTCTTCTGCATCCTGGAATAATTTTCATAAGCTACAGAGGTTAATACAGCATGGGAATTGATGCTTAAAGTAGAACTCTGTTCCTTCAAATGTGACTCTGGTCCCAAGGACAGTCATTAGCCTTTTGACATGTCTTTTATTGTTAAATCCACTAACATCTCATTACATTTGGAAGAAAAAAGAAAGGAAAAAAGGAAAAAAATCATTCAAGTAGCTACTCTAGGATTCACACCCAAATACCTGGAGAGTATGCACAAGATTTTGGCTTACTGCGATGTTAATTCTCTTCTTTAGAATGTTTGGAAGTTCAGCACCACATTCTGACTTCTGGCTCACCAACAGGCATGCTGGTTTCTTGGTGTGGTTTTCTAGCTCTTTTGCTATTAGTGCATAATTTGACAGTATGCTGCCACAGTAACAGAATTCATTAAGGGCTTTCAGTTTTGTTCTGCCAATGAGGATTTTTGGCTGCATGTAGTGCTAGCCTCTGAAGATTGATCCATAATATTTGTCTTATAAAGCCTTGTCACCTCATAGCGTGACTGATGCTACAAAATAATCCATAATGAGCCAGGTTCTCCCAGCATGAGCTACTCCCTGAGGGTACGTTAGGCACTACTGGAAACCATATTAACTTCTTTATCATCAAACTTGGGTGCTTAAAATAGACTGCATGAAAGTGGATACATTGCGCAGTCCCATGTTGCACCATTGACTTGGGGAGTGGATTAGGAATGTAATCCCTAATGTTCATTTTCTACAATATCCCATTATGGGAAACAGAAAAAAAAAAACTTCCAGATTTTGACAATGTTTTTTGTATAGTCATTTTCAAAGACAAGGTTTGCTGGAAATAACTATGTGGTTGATAGAATAAAGCCAACAACAACAAAAAATCATGTTTTTAACCAATATTTTCCCGTATGATTTCAGTGAAAAACAACATACCTTCCATTATTTTCAGCTATATTTTTACTACTATATCATTACATTTTGACATGTTCTGTGTTTAACTATTGGAGTAATCCTTTTCTGTGGTGTGCAATATGACAGTTAAAAATCCTATGAAATACTTTTATGCTGATGAGGCCAAAGTAATTTGGTCAACCCGCTTTGGGACTGGTTGGCTCCACAGTGAAGAACTAAACTACCCTGGAATTCTTTCCTGTGGTTCTAGTGAGAGAATGAGAATGAATCAGGTCAAGCCCAGCAAATACACTGGAAAATAAATCAAAGCATACTATTGGATGAAGAGGGAAAATAAGCATCATCTTTATTTAGGACAGTGGTTCTCAACTAGGGGTAATTTTGACCCCAGGGGAAGTTTGGCAATGTCTGGTCACATTTTTCAGTATCAACACTGAGGGTGTACTACTCACATCCAGTGGACAGGGTCCAGGGGAGGCTGCCAAAGATTCTATAATACACAAGACAGCCTTACCCTCTTACACCCAAAACATGATCTGGTCCAAAATGCCAGTAGTATTGTGGTTGGAAGGCCCTGGTTTCGGTAACTCTCAACGAGGAAAAGAGAACACAAGCCCTCTTTTCCTACAGTTCAGTTCATCTGCCTCACAGGACAAAGAGGGTAAAATACATCTGTAAGGAGTGGTGGCCTTAGGCTATGGGAAGGGCACATCAGATGCTCAGAAGAGATAATCTATTGACTCTCCTCAGTCGATGGAAAAAGCGGAACCCCTTTTTCCAGTGCCACCACTCTGTTTTGCAGTGGGGTG